TCACGCGTCTCCTTGCTACTGTTGTCACTGACCCTTCCTTTGAGTCCACTGCTGCGTCTGCCCTAGTTACTGAGCTCGTCGACTTTGCTGCTCGCTGTCGTCTAGACTACGCTGCTAGTCTTGTTGCTGAGTCTGAGTCTGTCTGTCCTCCGTCCGTCGGGGGTGAGTGTGCCCTTGGCACGGACGTCCTTGAGGACAGGCAGGAGGAGTTCCAGTGTTTGGCTGCTGCTTCACCTCATCTCGTGTCCGTACTGCTTACCCCTGAGGGAGACCCGGATGCACTTGACATCCCGACTCCGCGCTCTTACGCGGAGGCGATAGAGGGTCCCTACTCCTCTCAGTGGCAGGCAGCTATGGACGCAGAGATGGCTTCCTGGAAGTCCACAGGCACCTACGTTGACGAGGTTCCCCCGCCTAGGGCGAACATCGTCAGTGGCATGTGGATTTTCAGGGTGAAGCGGCCGCCGGGTTCTCCGCCTGTCTTCAAGGCGCGTTACGTGGCTCGTGGCTTCAGTCAGCGGCAGGGAGTTGACTACTTTCAGACCTTCTCTCCCACCCCAAAGATGACCACTCTTCGGGTACTGCTGCACATAGCTGCTCACCGCGACTACGAGCTGCACTCTCTTGACTTCAGCACTGCTTTCTTGCAGGGCAGCCTGCACGAGGAGATCTGGCTGCGTCGCCCACCTGGCTTCACTGGGTCTTTTCCTCCTGGCACCCAGTGGAGCCTCCGGCGGCCAGTCTACGGTCTCCGCCAGGCACTGCGTGAGTGGCACGACACACTGAGGACTACACTTGCGGCTCTTGGGTTTGCTCCCTCTACTGCCGACCCGTCGCTGTTTCTGCGCACCGACACTTCTTTGCAGCCGTTCTACATCCTCGTGTACGTCGACGACTTGGTCTTTGCCACAGCTGACACTGCTGGACTCGCCCACGTGAAGTCCGAGCTGCAGAAGAGACACACGTGCACAGACCTGGGTGAACTGCGCAGCTACCTTGGCTTGCAGATCACCCGGGACAGAGCACGCCGCACCATTACCCTGACTCAGTCACACATGGTGCAGCAGGTCCTTCAGCGCTTCGGCTTCACGTACTCCTCGCCTCAGGCCACTCCTCTGCCTACTCGCCACTCGCTCTCAGCTCTGCCTTCGGATGAGTCCGTAGAGTCGAGTGGCCCGTATCCAGAGCTTGTTGGCTGCCTCATGTACCTGATGACCTGCACACGACCTGACCTTGCATACTCTCTTAGCATTCTTGCACGCTATGTTGCTCCTGGGAGACACAGACCGGAGCACATGGCTGCAGCGAAGAGGGTGTTGCGCTACTTGTGCAGTACGTCGGGCATGGGGCTTGTGCTTGGAGGGCAGAGTCCAGTGGTCCTCACTGGACACGCAGACGCTTCTTGGGCTGACGACCAGGCTACGCAGCGGTCGTCACAGGGTTACACCTTCAGCCTTGGTTCCGGCTCTGTTTCGTGGCGGGCTACTCGCTCGTCTTCTGTTCTCGACTCCAGTTGTGAGGCTGAGATCTACGCCGGGGCCATGGCTGCACAGGAGCTTCGCTGGCTCACCTACCTGCTGACTGACCTCGGAGAGCCGCCTCGTTCTCCTCCAGTGCTCTACGTAGACAACAAGGCCATGCTGGCCTTGTGTCGAGAGCAGAGACTGGAGCACAGAACGAAGCACATTGCTCTTCGCTACTTCCTTGCTCGTGAGCTACAGCAGCGTGGTCAGCTGCGACTTGCGTACGTGGCCTCTGAGGCCAACACTGCTGATATCTTCACCAAGGCACTTGCGCCTTGTGATCATCAGCGCTTCTGTACTCAGCTGGGTCTTGTACCTACCTTGCCTCACTTGCTCACCTCTTGACCTTGTTTGTACTGTTGCATGTATATATACTCCTGCTCTTGCTTGTCTAGCCTTCTATATATATGTAATCCTGCATGTGAACTGGCCTTGTGGCCTTGAACTTGTGCTCGGAATGTGTGGTGACTTTGTGATCCACCCTGAGCTTGCTTTGCTTTGCTTGACTGGTCTTGTGACCCCTTGTTCTCCCCCACTTTGCCTATGGGGGTGTGTCAGAGTTATATGACATAGCTACTGTAGGCTATAGTGGGGTAGCACATATGGGGTACAGTTGCCTAGGGTTTGCCTTTTGTACCCAACTTTCACTTAGTCATTTCATTCCTGTTTTCTTGATTCACACGTTGCCAGCGACGGTCCTCTACGAGCGATTCGTGGTCAAAGCTGGAGCGAATGCGTGCCGAGTGATTGGTTATCTGTGTCCGCCTTTTGAGTGATCGTCACATTTTTTTTAGGCTTTTTTTTCGTTTTCTTCAGAGCTGCAAGCTTCTTGTGTTGCCTCCGCTTCTGCCCTGGTGGCGGACGTCGCGTGTTGCAGTAGTATAATTCCGCGTTTCTCAGGGCGATTTGGCTTTTGCTTCTCCGAGACGTCAACGCTGCCACCTGGGTCAAGCTAATAATGTTTTATATTCTTCCAACCCTATCTGACCTCTGAATTTCCCGATGTATCATACGCAGTGACTCTACCATTTCTTCCTTATTCAGGGAACAAAACGTTGCGCCTAAGCAGCGCATGCGTCATCCCTTGGAGCCAATCCCAAGGAGCTGTTGTAAGAGCTCTTGGACGAGGTGCGTGCGATACTGACTTACCTCTTATTATCGTCCCTTAACCCCCCCTCGGCCTGATCAGGAAGCTCACGTCGTACACGGCACGGCACGGCGCCCAAGGAGCTGCTGCACGAGGTGCATGCATCTGCGACACTGACTCACCTCGCCCCTTGCCCTCTCTCTCTAATGGACCTTGATAAGCCATAAGGGTACAAAACATGCGAAAGAAACATAGGCAACTAGCATATGCAAACATCTAATACTCAACAAAAGGCTCTAAAACGGTAAAGCAATCCACCGGGTGCATCTCTGTGTGGCCACCCACTGCCGGCTTTTCAGCCACCGCCGCTTGGTTCGACTTCATGAGGTATCCTACTGACTGCGCGCGTTGCAGGGCGACCGACCAGCGCTGCCTGAATTGATGAAGGAACTTTGCAGCTTGGAAGGAGTTTGGATCGGCGTTGAAGTACCGCCGAGCTGCAGTGTCCGCCAGCAATTTCAAGAACACCGGGACCTCCGCGCAAGGGCATTCGTAGGTGTCTACTGCCAATGGGAAGAACCCCACCGAATCGGGCCTAGCTGCGTAGTGTTGTTTCTTCTTATCTGCTTGTTCCCTTGCAGCCCAGCCCCTTCCCTTCGTAGCCTCCTTGTCCCGAGTGCTTATGGGGTCTATGACAGTGACATCACAGATGTAGACAGCCCCGGAGCTCCTATCTCGAATGGTGATGTCGGCAGTCTGTTCCTCGACCGGGCAGTAAGCCGAAGATTCGGCATGAACGATGAATCCTGCGTCAAGCGCCATGCTGATGCATGCGTCCCGTATCTCGTTATGGGTGTTGATTCGGTGTTTTCCCGTGCCGCAGCGGAAGAGGTGATTAGGCAGTCGAGAGTCGGGGATGGCGGTGTGCTCTGAGCAATCGCAGTTGGCTGGTGTTGAGAATGGTAGGCCTAGTCTGAAGCAGATGGAGTTGGTGAAATGCTCTGGGGCCAGTCGTCGGTTTGCTGCTATTGGTATCGCGTGTAGCCAGTCGCCCGCGGCATAACCGGTGAGAGAGTACATACGCTGCGTGTATCCCTTGAGTGGATTGAGCCTCATTTGTCTCGTCTGCTGCACCTGTACGGCGTATCTGCTCCCTTGCACGCTGAGTGATAAGGCGTGCTGCAGCTTCAGACCGGATGGCGCTAGTCTTTCTTCCTCAAGGGTCTCTAAGGCGTCAGCAGGCAGGGCGCGCTCGCACTCAGTCAGCCATGCATGAAGGGTGAAGTTGTCGTCCCGAGCCAGCAGCATGTGATCTTTTGCAGTGGACAGTACTTCGTCTATAGTGAGTGGCAGCGAGCTGAGCAGAAGCGCTGCCTGTGTGAAACTTGCAAGAAAGCCAGCCACTCCCTCCACCGTGGGATCAGCCAGTCCGATTCCGCCAAGTGAGGGTGGGAGAGATGCCTACTCCCAAACGCGGGACTGTTCTGTGTTGCTAGTGGGGACGCGGATGCGGCAAGCGGTTAGGAGGCAGGCGAGCAGGTCCATGCCCCATTGTGACCAGGTGTTACGGGGCAGGAGGTTAAGTGGAGTGGTTCGCGTAAGGTATGCTACACGCCTCGAGATACACCATGTGAGCAGTAGCGAGGTGACTTGCGGGTCCATGCGCTCTAAAATGGGCAGCGGTTTCGCCAGGCTCTGCAGCTGTTCTGTGAGGAAGACGGCGGAGCCAGTGGTGGGGTTCAAGAAGCCATCGCGCATCATCGACAGGGAAGATGACTGCTGCTGGTGCTGCCTCTTGTTCATGCCCCACTCTCCGTCCCTCCCTCCCGTCCCCTCTTACCCACCCCAACCCCTCCTCCCCCCTCCCTTCACACCAGGCGGCGGGGTTTAAAAAGCCATCGCGCATCATCGACAGGGAGGACGACTACCGGCGCCGACGCCTCAACCGAATCATCTCGCCGGACCGCCATGATGCCTTTGCCATGGTACGATGCCTTGCCATGGTACGATGCCTTGCCATGGTACGATGCCTTGCCATGGTACGTCCCGGTTGCAATGGTGCGTTGAATGCCTGTGTTCATATGCGTGTGTTTATGTGTGCTGCACTGCACCTTTGCGTAAATGCCTGCATGCCTCTGTCCCCGCATGTTCACATTCACATGTCTGTATACCTCCCCGCCCTTACCCCGCCCACCAGGATGACACTACACCCAATGAAGCGGTGCTAACATACGCGGAGCGGATGTGTTAAAGAAGAAGGAGGCGCTGAAGTGCGAGATGAGACTCTGAAAGCGTGAAGTAGTGCCCAAAGACCTGCCGCTTACATTTGCGTGTTTCCCTCTTTCCCTCTTCTCACCGCCCACCAAGGTGATTCCACTCCAGACGCCGCAATGCGCGCATATGCAGATCTGATAAAGGAGGAGGCGCTGAAGCGAGAGGAGATGGTGGGGCGCTTACACATGTGCTGCACATGTGTCTGTGTATGTGTGTCTCTCTCTCTCTCTCTCTCTCCTCGCCCCACTCTTCCCACCAGGGTGATGCCACGCCCGATGCAGCAGTGCGCACATACACGGATGTGCTAAAGGAGGAGGCGTTGAAGCGCGAGAAGGAGGAGACGTTGAGGCAGATCGCCAAGAAGAAGGCGGAGGACGTCGAGAGGAAGGCTGATGACCTCTCCTCCGCGCCCACCAAGGCCCAGGGCGCTGCTGCCGCCCCTGCTGCTCCCCCTGCTGCCCCCGCTGCTGCTGCCGCTGCTGGTGTGGCTCCGGGTGGTGCTGCTGCTGCGGGTAGCAAGAGGAGGAATCGGTGGGATGTGGCGGGAGGCGGAGGTGCTGGTGCTGCGGAGGCTGAGGCCAAGTGAGTGTGCTGTTTGGTGAAGGGTTGGTGGGGAAGGGAGGATGGTGGATGGGTCGATGGGTGGGTGAGTGGGTGGGTGGGTGGGTGGGTGGGTTGTAAGTGGGTGTGTGTGTGGGGAGTGTGGTGGTGGTGCTGCTCACTCATCTGCACCCCTGCGTTTCTGCCTCTCTCCTTTGCTGCCCCTGTGGCTGTCTTGTTCACTTGGCTTGGTTGCATCGCCACGGTGCGTCGGTGATGTGTGCGAGTGCCTTGAGACGCTTGTGTCCCTGTCTGCTACTGCTTACCGCGCCTCCCTTGTTTGTCTCCGTACCGTTCAATCCCGTGTCCCACTGCTTGTGTTGCTGCCGCTGCTGCTGGCAGGAAGCCCAAGGCAGCGGACTGGGATGCGCCTGATGCCACGCCAGGCCCCGCCAGGTGAGATTCTGTTGCTTCTGGCGCCGCTCTTTACTTGCCTTTGCTGCACACTGCTCCTCTTCACACAGCCAACCCACCACCATCACTCACTCGCGTGCTCTCTCTCTCTCTCTTTCCCACACCTGCTGCCGTCATGCACAGTTGCTGCACCACACTGTACTGCACTGCACCACGCTTAGCTGTTATGAGATGAGGCCCCTGACTTCAGCCCACATGTTTCTCCCATCTTCATTACCATTTCTCCCCTTCCCCGCCTTACCCCTTCCTTCGCCAGTTTCCTTCGCCAAACCCTGTTCTCCTCGCATCCATCTCCCGCCCCTTCGTGCACTCCCTCCCCCGCTCAGTCGCTGAGACGCCCCACTCACCCCGTCCCTTCCCCTGTGCAATCCTCATTCCTTCCCCGTCTCTTTGCACCCTGCTCACCCTCTTCCCGATCTCTCTCCAACCATCTCCCAATGACCCCTCCTCCCTTCCCCCAGTCTTTGGGATGCCCCCACCCCGGGTCGTGGCAGTGCAGTGGGCGCCACCCGCACGCCCAACTTCTTTATGGCTCCCTGTCCAAACCTTACCCGCTCGCTTCCCCTGCCCTCTCCTTCTCCCCCTCCCCCCTTCGTTCCCGCCACCAGTCGTTGGGACGCCCCCACCCCCGGCAGAGGCACAGCAGTAGACGCCACTCCCAGGCCTGGCCCCCGCCGCAACCGCTGGGATGAAACACCCTCCCACGACGGAGTAATGCCGGACGACGCCACCCCCTCCGCGCTCCCGGGCGGCGGCGGCGCCACCCCAGGGCTGGGCGGCGGCGCCACGCCGGCCGGCATGGCTTGGGACGCCACGCCGAAGCTCTCGGCCGGCGCCACCCTGACGCCGAAAAAGACGCGGTCCAGATGGGACGAAACACCGGCCGGCGGAGGCGTTACCCCTGCGGGCGGCGGGGGCGGCGCGACTCCATCCGCTGCTGTAGGCATGACTCCTTCCGGGATGACCCCGGGGGGGGTGACACCTGGGGGAGCTACACCTGGCGGGTTCGGGGTCACACCTGTGGGAGGAATGGACATGGCAACACCCACCCCGGGACAGATTGCTCTCCGTGGTCCACTCACTCCCGAGCAATTCACCATGCTGCGATGGGAGAGGGAGATCGAGGAGCGCAACAAGCCGCTGTCAGATGAGGAGCTGGATGCGATGTTTCCCCTGGATGGGTACAAGGTGCTCGACCCCCCTGCCTCGTACGTCCCCATTCGCACCCCCGCGAGGAAGCTCCTCGCGACGCCCACGCCGATGGGTGGAGCAAGCGGGGGTGCGACGCAGCTGTATGCGATTCCCGAGGAGGATCGGCAGCAGCTGTTTGACGTGGGGAAAGAGGTGCCGGGGCTGCCGAACCTGAAGCCGGAGGACTACCAGTACTTTGACGCGCTGCTGAACGAGGAGGAGGAGAAGAAGATGAGCGCGCAGGAGAAAACTGAGCGCAAGATCATGAAGCTGCTGCTCAAGGTGGGTTGGGAAGTGGATGGATGGTGGGTTGGTGTGGGTTGGAAAGGAGAGGTCCTCTCACCTCTTTTAGGGCGACGTCAGGTTGTACAACTCTGACACATTCACAGTTCGTGTATCATGGCTCTGGATGGTTCTCCACGGTGGGAAGCGGTTTTCAAGAAAGTTTCAGGGCGGTCTCCATTTACCGTTTTGCACCGTGACTAAACGAAGTTTACCGCAGAGAGCGTACAAAAAGTTGTACAACCTGATGTCGCCTTTATTCATGCACTCAAGCCCAAACACTTCAGAACACATATTTAACGTTGTTTTACCCTCTTGTACCCCGCCGCACCGCACTGCACCCACTGGAACAGGTGAAGAACGGCACGCCTCCCCAGCGCAAGACGGCTCTGAGGCAGCTGACAGACAAGGCGAGGGAGTTTGGCGCGTCCGCCCTGTTCAACCAGATCCTGCCTCTGCTCATGTCGCCCACTCTGGAGGACCAGGAGAGGCATCTGCTCGTCAAGGTGAGTCAACTCCATTGCCTTGTTTCACTACTACCCTCTACTCATGTAATCAACAGCTTTCTCGCAAGCTGGAAGACCTGGGGCCCCCGTGTGCACACAACATGCCTGGTGCACCTAATTCAACTCATTGCGTTGCACTGCATTCAACCCCTACACCGTCGTTTGTTCTCCACATTGCAGGTCATCGACCGCATTCTGTACAAGCTGGACGAGCTGATGCGCCCCTTTGTGTACAAGTTGCCCCTTGCACCTCACCCCATTGCACCTCATTCCACCCCTTCCTGCGCCTCATTGTGCCTTCACAGGTCATCGACCGCATCCTGTACAAGCTGGACGAGCTGGTGCGCCCCTTCGTGCACAAGATTCTGGTGGTCATCGAGCCGCTGCTCATTGATGAGGATTACTATGCGCGTGTCGAGGGGCAAGAAATCATCTCCAACCTCAGCAAGGTGTGTGTGTGTGTGTGTGTGTGTGTGTGTGTGTGTGCTGGTTGATGGGGCTCTCAGACCAAGGTATGTAAGTCACGATGATTATCAGCACAAGATTCTGGTGGTCATCGAGCCACTGCTCATCGATGAGGACTACTATGCACGCGTGGAGGGATGGGAAATCATCTCCAACCTCAGCAAGGTGTGTGCGCTGGTGGGCTGTGACAAGGCAAGTCGTCAGAATTGGGTGGTGATATACCAAGGCCTTGAGGTGATTTGACTTAACATGATACCACCCGAATCGAGCCCATCACTTTTTGGAGACGGTCTGCGCACTTGTTGTGCCAGACGGATCCTCTGCTGTGCCTGAGCCTTGCGCGCTCTCCAGTGCCTTTGTGTTTTCCACTATAGGCTAATGAGAAAGCAAGGCGTCAATGCTCCTAATTCTGCTTCTTTGCATCCTCAAATATGCCTCCTCCTATGGACCCCCTTTCATCCCTTGTCGCGTTCTTGCCTCACTTGTCCCCGTCCCCATCCCCGTCTCTCCCCACCCACAGCCACAGGCAGCAGGCCATGCGGCTCGACATTGGCAACGTGGACCAGTAACATAACATGCGCACCTTCTCTTTGGGAGTCACTTTTGAGAACATACGCACCTTCTCCGCGCTGGCACCCCGTTCTGGCCTCACTCACTCATACTAGCCCCCTTTCCCCTCTCCCCTCTCCCTGTAACAGGCAGCAGGGCTGGCAAAGATGATTGAAGGCATGCGGCCGGACATACACGGCGCAGACAAGTATGCGCGCAACACCGCCCGCCACACGCAGCCTCCCACCCCACACGCGCAACACCGACACACGTAGCCTCCCACTACTGGCCTACTCGTTTCTGTCTCACTCACACCCCTCTTTTCCTATCTCCCCGGCCTCTCTTCTTGTAACAGGCAGCAGGTCTGGCGACAATGATTGCAGCCATGCGGCCTGACATCGACAATGTGGATGAGTATGTGCGCAACACCACTGCCCGCGCCTTCTCCGTCGTGGCGTCCGCCCTGGGCATCCCGGCGCTGCTGCCCTTCCTGCGAGCGGTGTGTGCCAGCAAGAAGTCGTGGCAGGCGAGGCACACAGGCATCAAGATCGTGCAGCAGATCGCCATTCTCATGGGCTGTGCCGTGCTGCCGCACCTGCGCTCGCTGGTTGATATCATCGAGCATGGCCTGGGTGACGACAACCAGAAGGTACGCACAAATTTCAGCATGTCATCGCATCACATCGCTGTCCCTGGCAGGGCAGGTGCTCTACCCGAGGCGTCACCACAGCCTTTGTATGGCATCATTAAGTGTGTTGACTAGTTGCTCACTCACGACCCTTCCGTTGCTCCCCTTCACTCAGGTTCGCACCATCACGGCATTATCCCTGACCGCTCTGGCAGAGGCATCAGCGCCTTTTGGCATCTTAGAGCTTTGACTCCGTGTTCCCACCCACAGCGGTTCCATCCTCCCCCTTCCCCACCCCACCTCCCCTCCCCCCCCCCCCCCCCCCCCCCCCCCCCCCCCGCCTCTTCCGACCTGTTCCTATTACTCAGGTCTGAACGATTACAGTGTTATCCCTGGCAGCTCTGGCAGAGGCGTCAGCGCCGTACGGCATCGAAAGCTTTGACTCCGTGCTCGTCCATCCACCCCTTCCTCTCCCCCCCCCGCCTCTTCTGATCTGTCCCCATCACTCAGGTCCGCACCATCATGGCGTTATCCCTGGCAGCGCTGCCAGAGGCGTCAGCGCCGTACGGCATCGAGAGCTTTGACTCCGTGCTGAAGCCACTGTGGAAGGGCATTCGCTCACACCGCGGGAAGGTTCTTGCGGCCTTCCTGAAGGAGATCGGGTTCGTCATCCCTCTGATGGACGCCATGTATGCCAGCTACTACACGCGCGAGGTGCGGACGTGTGGTGAGAGGGATGCGTGCTGTGATTGGGTTGGGTCTATCATGAGGGGTCAATGACTCAAGGACCCTGGGGCACATGGGGGGTTCATCATCCCTCTCATAGACGCCATGTATGCCAGCTACTATACGCATGGGGAAAGGGGTGCATGTCTGTGTGCAGAGGGGTACGTGGGTGGGCTGGGCTGGGTTGGGTCATGTGCACATGTGCGGGGTTCATCATCCCTCTCATGAACGCCATGAACGCACACGAGCTACTGCACTCGCGAGGTGAGTGGGGTGGGGAGAAGAGGAGCGGCGCGGAGGAAGACATCCCATCCCATCCATGTGTCCATCATGGGGGTGGGGCATGTGGGCACATGGGCTCATCATCCCTCTCATGAGGGGCCATGCTTTCGACTGAGTGAGTGCATGCTCATGAGTGTGTGCTGTGCACTCTCTTCCTCACATCTCCACCTCTCGTCTCATCCCCTCCCCTTCCCGCCCCTCCCCTTCTTCTCCTGTCCAGGTAATGGTGGTGTTGATTCGCGAGTTCCAGTCGCCAGACAAGGAGATGAAGAAGATAGTGCTCAAGGTGGTGAAGCAGTGTGTGGGCACGGACGGCGTGGAGCCGGACTACATCCGCGCCGAGATCCTCCCCCGAGTATTTCAAGCACTTCTGGGTGCGCCGCATGGCACTCGATCGGTGCAACTACAAGCAGCTGGTGGAAACCACCGTTGAGATTGCAAATAAGGTGCGCGTATTGACCGCACAGTTCCATGTGTTTGGGGGTAACAGGCCAGTGATGATCCTACCCGAGTATTGCAAGCACTTGTGGGTGCGCCGCATGGCGCTGGACAGGAGGAAGTACGTGCAGCTGGTGGAGACGACGGTTGAGATCGCCAATAAGGTCGGGTTTTGAGGGCGGGTCAGCTGGTCAGCAGGCCAGCAGGCCAGCAAGCTAGTCGGTCAGCAAGCCAGCCGGCTAGTAGGCCAGCAGACCAGCAGGTGGTGAAGCAGTGTGAGGGAACCAATGTGGACGGGGTGGAAGCGGACCGTATCCATACCTAGTAACTCAATTTTCATTTCCATTACTGGGTACACGTTTTAGCTCTTATGAGCTTCAAATAGGCCTGTCATTGTCACCGTATCCCTACATCCTTGTACCCCCTGACTCACCCCTTGTTGTATCGTTCCTTGCTAACAGGCGGGAGTGAGCGACATCATAGGGCACGTGGTGGAGGACCTCAAGGACGAGAGCGAGCCGTACCGCCGCATGGTGATGGAGACGGTGGAGAAGGTGCTCACCAACCTGGGCGCCGCTGACATCGACGCGCGCCTGGAGGAGCTGCTGATTGATGGCATCCTCTACGCATTCCAGGAGCAGGTGGGTGGTTGTGTGTGTGGCAGCAGGTGGATGGGTATGCGCGTGGGCTAGTGAGGCACAACGCATGGTGATGGAGACGGTGGAGAAGGTGCTCACTAACCTGGGTGTGGCTGACATTGACGCGCGGCTGGAGGAGCTGCTGATGGATGGATGGCATCCTCTACCCTCTGTAACAGAGGAAGGGGGCTTATAACTCTATACATACATCACAAAGGGTAAATGGGGATGGAGACGATGGAGAAGGTTCTTACTAACATGGGCGCCACTGACATGATGCATGTCTCAAAGAGTTTTTTATCGACGGCATCCTCTATGCCTTCCAGGAGCACGTGGGTGTGCCACTGATAAATGGTGGGTGGGTGGGGGGGTGGGTGGGGTGTTAATTAACGGTTAAGAAGGTGCTCACTAACATGGGGCCCACCTCTGACATTGACGCCTGCCTGGAAGATCTACTGATTGGTGGCATTCTCTACGCGTTCCAGTAGCAGGTGGGTGGGTGGGTGGGTGTGTCGGTGGGTGGGATGGGGTGGGGGGTATAGACTTTATACATGCAGCATACAGGGGGCATGGAGGATGGTGATGGAGACGGTGGAGGGGAAGGTGTACAGTGCACCATTCTCGGGGCTGCCACCGAGTCACTGCCATTGATGGTGGAGTTCTGCCCAACCTGGGCCTCTCACGCGCAGCGCAGGTGCCGTTTCCATTGTGAATGTCCGGTGTTGCTTTCGAATCCCAGCACCCATCCATGCTAGGTTGTTGCCTTTGTACATTGGCAGAGGACCCAGTATCCACTTCTTCTCTCTTCTCTAACTACATCCAACCGTCCTTCCTCTATGCCTCCTAATTGTACCTCCACCGCCTTCCCCTCGTCCCCCTCGTCTCTCTGCTCGTTGCCAAGCCCCGTCATGTGCATGCGCGCTTCACTGTGTCGCATGGATACATACATACATCATTGCACTCCTGACTTCACATCACATCACATCCGAATGCATGTTGTGTGTACCCATAGCTCATCATGAGTGCAGACAAGCGACGATGCCAATGTGATGCTCAACGGCTTTGGCACGGTGGTCAATGCGCTCGGGCAGAGAGTGCGCCCCTACCTCCCCCAGGTCCGTGCCTTGCCTTGCTTTCGCCAAATAGCACTTGTTTCTTTCTCCAGCATATCTCCCGAATTTGTCGACCATATCTAAAGTTCTGAGTTGCCTCAAAATTCTCTCAGCATTTTCAGAGGCGCATTTCTGATTGCCCCTCCATTCGTTGTCCTTTTCTGTGTTCTCCTCGCAGTTGGCTCCTCATCTTGCTCCAACCCAACCTCTCTTTCCCCCCTCCCCCCCACCTCCCCTTCCCCACCCCCCCTTCCCCTCAGATCTGTGGAACTGTGAAGTGGCGGCTGAACAACAAAACAAGAGAGCGAAGGTGCGGCAGCAATGCCTCATGAGGCACCCCCCAACGTCTCTTCACACCATTCCCCCCGCTTGTCTCTCTCCCCTTCCCCCCTCTCAGATCTGTGGAACGGTGAAGTGGCGGCTGAACAACAAGAGTGCCAAGGTGCGGCAGCAGGCAGCAGACCTGATAGCGCGCATTGCAGTGGTCATGAAGGCGTGCGGGGAGGAGCAGCTCATGGGGCACCTGGGCGTTGCGTTGTACGAGTACATGGGAGAAGGTGAGTAGGTGCAGTGCGGTGCAGTACGGTGCGGTGGCATGTCGTGCATAGAGCAAGGAGCATTGCTGTGGTGATGAAGGCGTGTGGGGAGGAGCAAGTAGCATTGCATGGGGCACCTGGGTGTCGTGCTCTATGAGTACCTCGGAGAAGGTGAGTAGGTGCAATGTGGTGTGGTGCAGTACAGTGCACTGGCATGTCATGCATGCAGCAAGGCAGCAGGCAGCGGACCTGATAGGGCGCATTGCAGTGGTTATGAAGGCGTGCGGGGAGGAGCAGCTCATGGGGCATCTGGGCGTTGTGTTGTACGAGGTCCTGGGAGAAGGTATAATGTGGTGTGACATGGTGTAGTGCGGTGCCGTGTGGTGTGTGTGGTGTGGTTAGCTAGTAACATAGAGCAGTGGTGATGAAGGCGTGTGGGGGAGAGCAGCTGATGGGGGACCTGGGCGTCGTGCTGTATGAGTACCTCGGAGAAGGTTGGACTGGGTGTTACATGATATAGAGCGGTGCAGTGTCATGCAGCGTGGTGTGGTGTGGGCAGGAGAGTAGAAAGCCGGACTCCACACGGTCAGTGGTTTCACTCCCATCTGCTCATGCCTATCCATAATCTGGAATCAAAGTGAATCGACATGAATAAGACCCTGCTATGTGTCCCTGCTGTCTTCCCATGTCATTGTGAACGTGATCGGCATGACCAAGAGGACTGTCTCCCTTGGTGCTAACAATCACACACACACACCAATGCTCAATGTATCTCTCTCACCACTCTTTGTCTCCTCGTTCTCCTCCCTCCAGAGTACCCCGAGGTGCTGGGGTCTATATTGGGAGCACTCAAGGCCATAGTGAACGTGATCGACATGACCAAGATGACTCCTCCCATCAAGGATCTTCTGCCTCGCCTCACGCCCATCCTCAAGAACAGGCACGAAAAGGTAAGTCGCCCTTGTTTTGTTTTGTTCCTCCTTCACGTCAATCTGGGCTGGGCTGCATTTGTGCTCTGCTCCGCTCCTTTGTTGATAATTCCCATCACCACTATTCCTCACCCCCTTCCCCCTGTCCCTTTCCCCACTTCTCTTGGAAAAACATTTTGTTGTGTAGTGGGACGCATTGCAAGCACACAGGCTGAACCCTCGTCCCCTCATTCCGTGTGTCTTCCTGTATGTGGTGCAAGGCAAGCATCACTCTACTACCACCACCGTGCCCACCACCACCCCACCAAACCGCGGCGCCACCCACACGTGGTGCAGGAGCTGACTTTTGGGTCGACTCGCCACCCACAGGTGGTGCAGGAGCTCTGCATCGCATCGATTGGGATGGGTGGGACGCATAGCACACACTCCGCCTCCCCTTTCCCCCCCTTAACACGCTGCCTCCCCTCCCCCCCTCTCCCCTCCCACTCCCTCCTTTACCTTCCCACCACCCACTATTCCACCCCTACAGGTGCAGGAGAATTGCATCAACCTGGAGGGGCGCATTGGGGATAGACCGTCTGAACCCTTCTCCCTTGATTCTGTATTCCGTCCCACACCACCCCAATTTCACCACCCTTCCCCCCCCTACCCTGTGACCAACCCGTACAGGTGCAGGAGAATTGCATCGACCTTATGGGGCGTATTGCGGACAGGGGAGCCGAGTTTGTGCCGGCGAGGGAGTGGATGTGCATATGCTTCGAGCTGCTGGACATGCTCAAGGTGTGTGCTGGGGCAAGGGGAAGGGGCGTGCTAGGCAGGAGAATCGGTGAGAATGGCTGTGGGACAGTGAGGGAGTGGATGCGCATATGCTTGGAGCTGTTGGACATGCTCAAGGTGTGTGCTAGGGCAAGGGGAAGGGGCGTGCTAGGCAGGAGAATCGGTGAGAATGGCTGTGGGACAGTGAGGGAGTGGATGTGCATATGCTTCGAGCTGCTGGACATGCTCAAGGTGTGTGCTAGGGCAAGGGGAAGGGGCGTGCTAGGCAAGAGAATCGGTGAGAATGGCTGTGGGACAGTGAGGGAGTGGATATATGCTTCGAGCTGCTGGACATGCTCAAGGTGAGGGGAAGGGCGAGAGCTAGAAAGGAGAGAGAGGGGGAGAGGGTGAGAGGTGGGAGAGGGTGAGAGGTGGGAGAGGGTGAGAGGTGGGAGAGGGTGAGAGGTGGGAGAGGGTGAGAGGTGGGAGAGGGTGAGAGGTGGGAGAGGGTGAGAGGTGGGAGAGGGTGAGAGGTGGGAGAGGGTACATGGAGGGAGAGAGTGAAACGAGGGAGAGAGAGAGAGAGAGAGAGAGAGAGAGAGAGAGAGAGAGAGAGAGAGAGAGAGAGAGAGAGAGAGAGAGAGGGACCTAGCCTCTGCCCTCTCCCTTAGCCCTCTGCCCTCTTCCTTCCCAAGTATAAGAGGCCTCTCTTGGCCTCTTGCCTTTCATTATTCAGTTGTATGGCTGAAATTTTCGCCTCGCGCCGTCCACCTTCGGCGGCCGACGCTCGACAGCGCGGCCTTCGGCCGCGCCTAGGGAACGGCAAGATACACACCTGACAAACGTTCTACCACCAAGAGATACAAGCATGGCAGTGACAACACACGCCTAAAACAAGCAACCATGGAGCCTACGGGCACGGATTCTACATCCGGTCTACCTCAAGAGCAGCAAGGAGGCCAGAGAGAGTCCGCCACACCTCACGGACCACCAATGTACTTGCGGCGATCGCGTCGGCTCCAGAACCTGCACGCAAGTACCGCCGCAGGCCACGGACAGATGCGTCAAGTTGACCAACAGCCGCTACGCCTCCCCGCGCGGGCGCAGCGAACACGGGCGCCAGGAGGAGGGCAAGCTGGTCAGCCGCGTCCAAGCAGTCGTCCCGCGGGCCGTCCAGAAGAGAATCTGCAGGGACGGGCGGAAGAGATGCGTGTGCAGTCACTTGCACCAGAAGGAGCGCCCGAAGACTCTCCGAGAGGCGCCATAACTGCCCCAGAGTGGCTTCGGGAACACGAACCTGCGGGGGAAGAGGCGCTCCTGCCAGGAACGGGAGAGGCTCAACAACAGCGGCAGGAGGAGGATAATGCGCCGGAGGATGTGGAGAGACGCGAGGAGGAGAGGCACGCTGAGGAACTGCAGCTGGACGGGCAGCTGGAGGCGGAGCATGCGCAGGTGGTGCCGCGCGCTGCGAATGGTGGTGGCTCACAGCCCCAACCTGAGAATCACGCACCGCAACCGCTACAAGCTCCCGGATCTCGGCTGGCGACATCTGCTGCTCCTCAACCGGCCAGCCACGCCTGCGACCACGACCTCCCCTCCAACCCGCACGGCCCCCACGGTGCCCATTCCAGCTCGATGGCGAGGGACGGCGCCGAGGCGAATCCTGACGGCGACGCGTCGACTCACGTCCCTCGCGGCGATCTGGCGCGGGGTGCCACGATGATGAGCCACCCCTCCCCCGACCCCCACCGCCTGCCGCCGCGGTCTCCGGGCCCTGGACGGCAGTGGTGGCTGCCGGCGGCTGGTACGCAAGCACGGCGACAGAGGGAGCAGCAAGAGTCGCGGACACCGCCGCCGCGCCGGGAAATGCCACGGGCTCCAACCCCGACGGTCCGGAAGTCGCCCCAGCAGACGCAGAGGAGGCCGCAGGAGCAGGAGCGGACACAGGGGCCACATCAGAGGGAGGAGGACGAGCCGGAGCAGGCGCAGGAGGCGGCGCCACAACAGACTCGGGCACACACACGGGGGCCACACCAGAGACAGGAGGATGCGCCGGAGCAGGCGCATGTGGAGGTGCGGCCGCAGACGCTGGAGCAGGCACGGGAGGACGAGCAGGAGACGGGGCCGCAACGCCAGCAGACGCAGGCGCTGGAATACGCATCGGTGGCACTGCCACAGCGGGCGGAGACGCAGCAGGCACCGCCGGCCGAGCAGCAGGCGCAGCAGGAGCGGCCGGCGGCGGCGCAGGAGCAGGCGACATCTCCGTCGAGGTCACCACAGAGGCTGATGCAGTCGACGATGTACGCGCAGCAAACGCCGCGACAAAGGGCTGGGGCGAGTACGGGAAGTCGTCGCCGAGTGCCACAGGCATCGCGAGGCAGGGGACGCACAGGTCAGCGGGGCGCCGGAGGACAAGGAGGCGGACCGGAGAACGGGTTCCAACGTGCAGCACGAAGGGCTTTAAATCAGGAAGGAGCTAATGACGATGACGAGAGGAGGGATGCCTCTTATGTGCAACCTCCAGCAGTAGAGTCCTCTACGGATGAATCGGCTGAGGAAGGGAGAGAGACCCCAGGGGTGTCGAGGCAGGGAAACGCAACACACCGCCGGACCACGTCCGGCAACAATCAGGGGGGGAGAAATTTGTCAGGACCAATATTGACTGCAGCTGAACTCCAATCCCGCCAATTCTCACCAGAACAGCTGGCGAGAGACCTCGACCGCTTCGCAGAGGTGGGAAATTGGGACCTGACCCACCTCCGCGACAGTCGTCAGCCCCCGCTGGCAAGAAAATTACCAGCTGACATTCGCACACTTTTCGCCATGGCACTGCTGACACCCCTACTACACCTTGCGCGAAACCCAAACTCCGTAGCGGGCTGGCGCCTGTTACTCTTTGTCCCGCGCTTAACTCTTCGCCAGCAGACTCCGAAGAAACCTGATTGGCCGGCGGTGAAGCTGCGGCTTCGCCAATTTCTCAGAGGAGAATGGGGGCCGCTCTACGAGGCCAGCGTAGCTGCCATATCCAACCAGCCACCACCACGTCACGAAGCAGACAACACGGGCACGAGAGCCAGAGCAGAGGGTCTGGCCCGCAAAGGAAGTCTGCGGCGCGCAATCCTGGCCCTCGAGTCAACTCCAGTCGCCACACCATCGCCTGAAGTGCTCGAGGCACTAAAATCAAAACACCCACCAGCACCACCGACTCCCACCGAATGGAACCTCCCCGATACCACACCTTTCCCTGAAATCACAAAACCCGCCTTCACCAAGATACTCAACCGCTGTGAAAATGGAGTAGGAGGTGGGCCATCTGGGATGACCTTCGAACACCTTCGCAATGCTGCAATCACAAACGGCTCAGTCAACACCCACCTCCACGCCTTAGCGAATACCATCATGCGTGGCTCCCTCCCACCAGAGGTGTGCTCACTCCTCACATCGTCCCGCCTGATAGCGCTCACCAAGCCCGAGGGAGGCACAAGGCCCATAGCAGTAGGAGAATGCCTCCACCGCCTAGCCGCCAAATCCGCCTTAGCGACACTCTCGGAAGCAGCGCAGACTTTCTTCCTCCCGCTTCAGTTCTGCGTCGCGGTACAAGGAGGCAGCGAGGCCATAATACACACGGCACGGGCGTATATGAACTCGCACCAGGACGCCGTAATTCTCCAAGCGGACCTATCAAACGCATTCAATAGCATTAGCAGGAACGCCATAGTCGAGGCCCTCAAGGGATCAGCCCTTGAGAGCGTCCTACCCCTGGCTAAGATCTCGTACGGCGCGCCGTCCCTTCTCTTCCTCGATGCCGGCTTTAATAGTGACCCGCTCACCAGTGAGACGGGCGTACGCCAAGGGGACCCCCTCGGGCCTCTATTATTCGCGGCAGGCATACACCCAGCTCTGTCAAGCACCGCAGCTGCCTTCCCATCCGTCCTATGCCTCGCTTACGCCGATGACATTACCTTTCTGGGAAAAGCGGAGGACTGTACATCAGCTTTCAACCTTTTCACCGAAACGCTACGAGGCGTGGGCCTGACACACAATCCGGCTAAGAGTGCAGCGTGGAGTGCTTTGGGAGCTGAAGGGGGGATCTTACCTGACGGAGTGCCGTTCAGCGCAGACGGAATCCGAGTGCTGGGCAGTCACATCGGCCCAACTGCAGGTGCGGCGACATTTCTACGAGGACAGCTGGAAGCTATGTCATCCCCCCTTCCCCACATCCCCGGGATGGACCCCCAGCTGGCGTCACTGCTGCTGACAAAGTGCGTTTCCCGGCGCATCTCCTACCTGGTGCGCACCACGCCCCTCTACCTCCTCCCCGAAGCAGAATGGTCCCAGTGGGGACACGCGCTACTACTTACCCTCCTGGAAGCCTGTGGAGTCCGCCCGCCAAGAGGAGAGGCGGAGGAGTCCAGAGTCTGGGCCCAGGCTTCCCTCCCCCCGTCACTGGGGGGGGTGGGTCTGTCAGACCCCGCAGTGGAAGGACGGTACAGCTACCTTGCAAGTTTTGTCCAGGCAATGATGCTACTAACAGCCATGCCAGGACCAGCCAGACAGAGCCTCTCATCTGCCTTCTCGTGGTCGGCAGACGTGGATCCCGACCCAGACCCCCTACAGAACTGGCTCAGCGGCTGCAAGGGGGCGCTGTCAGAAGAAGCAGCTGAGCTACTACAGGCTGAAATGGAGAAACCAACAGGACAGCTCCAGCACCGCCTAGCCCGCCTTACCCAAGCGAGCCGCTATGCTGAACAGGTTGCAGCGTCTCGACGGATGGAGCTGAACCCACTGCTAGGCCACACGCAGCGGCTCATCTCTCTCTCGGGGTATGGGGCGGGGGACTGGCTGTTGGCCATCCCGTACATGTCCAGCCTCCGCCTCAACCCCGAGCACTTCGCCTTTGCCTTACAGTTCAGATTAGGCATGCCCCTACCTGTACCAGGCCACTGTGACTGCAATAAAAGGACAGCAATTCTAGACAAGCGGCTCCCAAACCACCTACTGCGCTGCGGCTTTGGACATGGGCGCACAAACACCCACAATGAGCTTCGGGACGAGTGCGCACGCATGGCGGAGGACGCGGGGTACATAGCTCACAAGGAGACAACTGCATTCAGCCCGGTGGATAACAAGCGAGCTGACATCGCCATCCGGGACCGCACCACAGGTTCAGTGTGGCTGGGGGACATCACAATCACTGACCCGATCAGCAAGAGGGACGAGCGGGCCACGAAGGGAAGGGGATGGGCAGCACGGGAAGCGGCGGACAAGAAGATTGACCTCTACCAAAACCGATCTTCGTTCGCAGGTTTCTTCCCGCTAGCAGTCGAGACCTATGGCTGCCCGTGCGACGAGGTGCCGGCTTTTCTAAAGCAACTTTCTGAGTCGGCAGCCCGCAAGCACTTTAACGCACCCCCCAAATCCTACCAGGCAGCCAAACTTCTGCACCAGTACCGCCAGCGCTGGTCGGTGTCCCTCCAAAAGGCCCAGGCCGTGAGCTACCTCATCAAGCTCAACCTAGCAGCACAGATTGAGAACCCACCTGTGGGTGGGCTCGGTGGAGAACTGTACCCCGGGGACTGCTTTGCAACTCTGGAACCAGGCAGTGGATTTGAGTAGAGGGTTTAGGGGGGGGGGGGGAGGGTTGTTAGTTTGTTAGTATGTTTGTTTGTTTGTTTTTTGTTTCCTGTTTAGTTTGCTTGCTGAATCTCATAGCTAGCTATTACACCTGCATGCCTGTCTTGGGACTCTTTTCAATATAAGGACCATTCGAGAGAGAGAGAGAGAGAGAGAGAGAGAGAGAGAGAGAGAGAGAGAGAGAGAGAGAGAGAGAGAGAGAGAGAGAGAGAGAGAGAGAGAGAGAGAGACCGGTTCCCGGGACTGGCGTCGCTGCTTGCGCCGCTCGCGGGAAGAAGCTCCGCGCCCAGCCAGCGCCGAGGCGGCCCGGAGCAGGGCTGGGACCTGGGGTCCCGGGACCCCTCCTGGGCTGGCTTCGGCAAGGGCAGTTGCCACCAGGGCAAGCGCGTTTGTCACCATCAGCGCCACAGCCTGCAGCGGGGCCCAGCGCAAGGAGCAACACGGGGGAGGCTGGTCAAGCACAACAGGAAGTTGAGCAGTCAGCTCCGATGCAGCAACCAATTCCCACGCCCGCGGCCCAGCAAGCAACTCACCGAGAAACGCGGAGCTCGACGAGGGGCCGGGGAATAGTGTGGGGCAGGCCGTCAGGAGCGGGACGAGCGACTATGGCGACCGCCTGGGTCCCTGCTGGTAGGGGTTTAAGGTCTGCACAGGAGAGCGCGAGGGGCGGCGGTGACGGCGTACTCCCCGCGATCCCCCGTGGAGGAAGAGGGGGAAGGGGAGGGACACGCGGCGGGGGAGGGACACGCGGACGAGGAGTTGCTCTTTTGGGGGGAGAGGTCGCGATCGCGAGATCAGGCACGTGGCGTGATCGCCACGACCGTCCAGAGCAGGTGGTTGCGCCTGTGACTGGGGGCGAGGATGGTTCCGATAACTCCCAGAACGGGAGCGAGTTTATCCTGTCGCACTCTGAGGCATCAGAGGAGGTCTCGCTGGGCGATGACGAGAATCAGAATATGGCTGAGCAGAGCCGAGTGAGGAGGGGGGAGCATGGTGGTGTGCCACAACCTCCCAACATGCCAGCAGGACAGGCCGCCGATGCGCCAGCGCGGCCATCCGAGAAATCACCCGCTGAGCTGGCGAAGGATGAGTCTTTCTGGCAGCTGGCCAGCACTTGGGATATCGCGCCACTTCAGCGAGCAGACCAACCGTTTCTGGTGAGACGGTTGCCCCCGAAGATCCTGGAAAGCTACTCCCTGTGCCTTCTGGCACCACTGCTATGGTTAGCCACACACCCGGACTGCGTGGGGGCGTGGACTGTGCTGCAGTTCTTGCCCCGTTTGACCCTTCGACCTCTCCCAGAGCCAGTAGAAGGGAACCGCTGGATAACGATTGAGACCCGGCTGCACCACTTCCGGATTGGGGACCTGGCCGATCTATACAGTGCGGCGTGCGTGATCCCTGAAACTGGAGCTCCGACACGTCATCAGCCGGACGGGGCCGGCCTGTGTGCGAGAGCCGAAGGACTGATAAAGAAGGCCAACATTTCAAAAGCAGTGTCTGCGTTACAAGTGACCCCGCTAGCGGAACCAACACCCGCTACACTCGCGGCCTTACAAGCGAAGCACCCTGTTGGGGACATACCAATTCCAAGCTGGGTAACCAACCGCACTGGGGCGCCAGCCTCGTCTCTGAACCTGACCCCAAGCGATGTTCGCGAAATACTCGCGAAGTGCCCGAATGGGGTTGGAGCTGGGCCCTCAGGCACCTGTTTCGAGCACTTAAAGGACCCGGCCCACTGCAGTGCGGAAATCCTCCTACTCCTCACCAAGGTCATCGGCCAGCTCCTTAACAGCGCACAAACGAGAGAGATAAGGGACATCCTCCTCCCGTCCCGGCTGATAGCACTCGAGAAGCCAGGGGGAGGAGTACGTCCTATCGCTATAGGAGAGGCCCTACTTAGGGTAGCAGCGAAGGCGGCACTACGCGAGTTGGCCCCAACGATTCGCGAATTCTTCCTCCCTGTCCAGTACGGTGTCTTCGTGCCGGGCGGAGCCGAGTGCGTCATCCACACTGTACGCGCCTTACTCCGGGAACACGAACACTACATCGCGCTTCAGCTAGATATAGAAAACGCGTTTAATTCGGTTGAGCGGGAGGCGTTCTTCTCGGCACTAGAGATCTCAGACCTGCACCAGCTGCTGCCGTTCGTCGGAACGCTGTATGACTCACCTTCGCGTCTTCTGGTCGACCCGGCCCTAGGGGTGGAGCACATCATGAGCTCCCGCGGCATACGTCAGGGTGATCCCCTCGGTCCACTCCTCTTTGCAGCGGCGATCCAGCCCACCCTGATGTGCACGGCAACTATGCACCCAGGAGTAGCTGTTGTAGCATACGCCGACGACATCACAGTGGTGGGGCCACGGGGGGATGTGTTCAACGCCTTTGATGCCATCGTCACAGAGTTGGCGAAGCGCGGGCTGCGGTGCAACGTGGCAGAATCTTCGGCATGGGGACGACAGGAAGGGGATGAGGGGCAGATGGGACTGGCGCATGGTTTGCGGATGAGTGCGGAGGGGATCAAGGTGCTTGGCAGCCCCATCGGCACACCGGACTACTGCACCTCGGAGGTCCGACAGGCGCTCACCAAAGCATCGGCACCCGTCCCCCTTATTGCGCAGCTACACCCGCAACACGCCCTACTACTTCTCTCTCGCAGCATCTCGCGCAGGATCTCATACCTGCTTCGCACCACGCCGAGCAGCGCATTGGAACGAGTGGAGTGGCGGGCCTGGAGCGAGTCACTGGTGGGAGCGGCACTCACTGCAGCCAAGCTACGGGTCCCGGCCAGCGAGCTGGAACAGAGCCTCCTGTGGCGGAAGGCTACTCTGCCCGTGCGCCTCGGGGGGCTGAGCATCATCGATCCCATCTCCGAGGCACCGGCGGCATACATTGCGTCACTGACAGCTGCACATCACCTGCTTCACCAGATGAACCTGCGGGAGCAGGAGCTGCTTGCGCGGGCGGAGACACTGCTGTCCAGAGAGTGGAACCCAACGCCCCCAGCGTTGAACGTGCTGGTTACACTGGAGGAGGGGCTGCCGGCGGAGGCACGGCCGGCACTACAGGCCTACAGGGAGGGCCCTCAGGGGCAGGGTAACTTGCAGCTCCTCCTGTCCAAGCACATCAACGCGGTCAGGGCCAGGGAGCTGCTAGCCGACACTATGGTTGACAAACCCGGGGAAGACCAGGGGCACGGGGTCCGGCTGGTCAGTTTGAAGGGAGTGGGAGCCGGGGATTGGCTACACGCAGTGCCAACGAGGTCTGACCTTACATTTGCCCCTGGTCAGTTCTCGTTGGCGCTCGGGTTCCGCCTCGGGATGGCTCTACCAGTCACGGTCAAGTGCCCCTGTAAGCGCGACAACTCGGATATCAAGGACACTAGTCTGGCGAATCACCTGCTCCGGTGTGGGGAAGGGGGTGACGTGGTGAGGACGCACAATGCCCTGGTCTACACGGCACTGAGAATGGCAAAGGAGGCGGGCTTCAATACCTTCCACGAGACGTCGGTGTTCTCCCCCCCGGTGCACCGCAAGAGGGCGGACCTCGCGTTCCAGGACAGAGAATCGGCAGAGACCTGGGTCACGGATGTTACGGTGACAGACCCGGTGCTGCAGAAACGGGACCCTAGGGTGCGGAAGCCGCCTGGGTGGGCTGCCAGGGAAGCTTCTGAGAAGAAGCACCGCCTGTATGAAGGCAGGCCTGACTATGTAGGGTGTTTCGGCCTTGCAGCAGAGACCTACGGGGCGCTGGCGACTGACACGGTGCAGTTCCTCCGTCTGTTGGCAGTGGCAGCGGCTAAAAAGAAGTTTCGGCAGGGGCCCCTCACTACAACCGCCTCTAGGCTCAATGTGCACTACCGACAGCGCTGGTCGGTCATGCTACAGCGCTCCCAGGCCATCTCGTTCCTCAACAAGTCCAACATGGCGGCGGAAGCGGCTTTCCCACAAGCTGCCATGGACCCCTGGGAACCTAGCCTGGGGGACCTGTGGCAGGTATTGGAAGATGACATGGCTGGGGTGTAGAGACTGGGGGGAGATACACTGGGCTGCATTTGAGAAGAAGAGGAAGGCGGTATTAAGGACAAGGGTCCCGAGATGTTGTAGGGGTAGTTAGTAGCCATTCAGGAAGGTGGTCTACATGCCTTGCTTGTTTGCTTGTAGCTTGCTTGCTTGCTTCCTTGCTAGCCAGCATGCATAGCGTAGCAAACCTGTCTAGAACCTGCCCTTGCATGCCTGTACCCTATCAACAGCATCAATGAAGGACCGCTTGAGAGAGAGAGAGAGAGAGAGAGAGAGAGAGAGAGAGAGAGAGAGAGAGAGAGAGAGAGAGAGAGAGAGAGAGAGACACCTAGCCTCTGCCCTCTCCCTTTGCCCTCTGCCCTCCCCTCTGTGAGCCACTTAAGAGGCCTCTTGGCCTCTTCTCCTCATTGTTCGGTGGGTTCAGAACTTTTCGCTCGTTCGAGAGAGCGAGAGAGAGAGAGACACCTAGCCTCTGCCCTCTCCCTTTGCCCTCTGCCCTCCCCTCTGTGAGCCACTTAAGAGGCCTCTTGGCCTCTTCTCCTCATTGTTCGGTGGGTTCAGAACTTTTCGCTCGCGCCGGCCGCCTTCGGCGGCCGACGCTCGACAGCGCGGCCTTCGGCCGCGCGTGAGGGGACGGCAAGGGAGAACGGGGACACACATTAACAATTCAAGCATACAAGCGATGGCCTCACCTACACCTGCCTAGGATAGCACACGGCAAACACAATGGCACAAGACGAGGCGGACGCTACATCTGATCCGCGTCAAGAACAGCAAGGAGCCCAGTCAACGAGCGATGAAGCTCGCGCACCACCACAGTGGTTGCGCCGATCAGGTCGACTGCAGTCGCTGCGTGCATCGCCCGGCGCAGCCCACGGAGCGCAGTCCCAAGCTGTCCAACGCCCACAACTCCTCCCCGCGCGGGCGCAGCCAACACGGGCGCAAGGAGCTCGGCAAGGCGGTCAGCGGCATCCGAGCACTCGTCCAGAGGGCCGCCTACCAGAGGCACGCCACGAGAAAGAGCCGCGTGGCAATACACCTGGATCAGGTGAACAGCCCGCAGACCCTCAGAGAGGCGCCAGAGCTGCCCGAGTGTCGCCTCGGGCACATCCACTGAAGGAGAAGGCCCTACCAGCGTCTGGACCGAAAAATCAGCTGCCGGAGGATCAGGAGCAACAGGCAGCAGGGACGGATACTGCGGCGTCACTGGTCCCCCGCCCGCAGTCACAAACTCCACACCCGCCATAGGAGGAACCTTCCCATGAGCAGCAGCTGACGGGGCGTGAGCACGAGGAGGAGGAGCAGCAGTTGAAGGAGGAGGAGGAGCGGGCGCATAGGGCGCAGGCGGAGGATGAGACACCGACGCAGGAGCATGGCGCGGCGAACTGCTCAGGCTCGCCCGCCCGTTCCGCTCCTCGCGCATCGCGTCAGACACAACCCGCTGCAAGTCGGCCATTGTCACCGGCTGATCGTACACCCACCCACCACCGTGACCACGCCCTCCCCACCAGCCCCCTCGGCCGCCACGTAGTGCAGCCCGGTTCGCCTGGGAACCACGGCGGCGGGGTGAATCATGACGCCGCCGTGACGTCTCTCGCTCGTCACGCGGTGCAGGGGATTGGGGCCGATGCTGCCGACGGCCCGGGGACGCAGGACGTTGGGCAGGAGGACCAGGAGCAAGGGGTGCGGGAGCAGGACCCGCCTGTACGGTCGGAGGCGGCACTGTCGCCGCCGCAGGCGGAGGGGCAGGAGCATCCGGAGGTGACGCGCGAGCCGACTGAACCTCCGCCGAGCTCAGGCCGGCGCTGGTGGCTGGAGGTGGCTGGTACGTCGGGTCCGCACCAGCAGCAGCAGAAGGCGACACGGCAGGCGCGACCAGTGGCGGCGAGGAGGCGCCTCCAACAGCAGCAGACGCCGCCGCAACCCCAAGCACGGGCGCCGACGCCCCCACGGGGGCAGGTGGAACCACCGGCGCAGGCGCAGGAGAACGCACAGGATCAGACGCCGCAACAGGCCCAGGGACAAGGGCAGGATCAGACGCCGGGGCGAGCGCGGGAGCAGGGGACGAGCCCGGTGCATGACAAGGCGCCACACCAGGCGCCGACAACGATGCCACGGCGGGAGCAGGCAGGGCAGCAGGCGCGAGGACGAGGCCAGCCTGAGTCACGGATGACGGTGCAGGAAGAGGAGACATCTCCACAGGCGCAGGTGCCGGGGACGATAAGGCAGGAGGGGCAACTGCAGCCGACGCCAAGGCAAAGGGCCGCGGCGAGTACGAGTAATACTCGTCGCCAATCGACACGGGCATCGCGGGGCGGACGAGGCGGCGGACGAGGAGGAGCGACAGGAAGGGGAGGCGGACCGGAGAATGGCTTCCAGAGGGAAGCGCGCCGCGCCTTAACTCGAAGAGCGGAGGCTGATGAAGCTGAGGAGGAGGGAAGAGACCCTACCTTTATAGCTGAGATGGTGGAAGAATCCACCACGGAAGAATCGGGAGAGTTAGAGGAGGAGGAACGGGACGGCAGACACCGGGGAAATGCAGCACCATGCTGAACCGCCCCAATCCCAGCTGCAACAGGTCGCGTATCAAACCAGCCAGGACCGGACACCACCGCATCAGAGACCCGCCAATTCTCGCCTGAACAATTGGCCAAGGACTTGGAGCGGTTCGGCGAAGTGAAAAACTGGGACCTGACCCCCCTACGCGACAGTCGTCAGCCCCCACTGTCGCGTAAACTCCTCGCTGACATTCGCCTACTTTTCGCAACTGCCCTCCTGACACCACTCCTCCACCTCGCGCGGAACCCTGTGTCAGTCGCAGGCTGGCGCCTGTTACTTTTTATCCCGCGTCTCACCCTTCGCCTCCCGTCAACTGAGAAACCCGACTGGCCGGCATTCAAGCAACGACTTCGCCAATTCAACAAGGGCGAATGGCAGCAGCTGTACGACGCGGCGGTTACCGCAATTACTGGACCCCACCCGCCTCGCCATACGCCAGATGCCATAGGCAAATGAGCGAGGGCAGAGGGCCTTGCGCGGAAAGGCAGCCTTCGCAGGGCGATCCTTGCCCTCGAGTCAACGCCGGTCGCCGACCCATCTGCAACTATCCTCGCCGCTCTCAAAGCAAAACACCCCCACGCGCCACCTGGAACCATCGATTGGAGCATCCCCGACTCTGTACAAGAAAAGGGGGATTTCATAAAACTGTTGTGTCGCTGTGAGAACGGGGTGGGGGGAGGACCATCGGGTATGACATTTGAACACCTCCGCGACGCATCACTCGCCAACGCGGGGGTTACCACACACCTCCACGCCCTCGTCAACACCATCCTGCAAGGCAAGCTGCCTGAGGAGATTTGCTCGCTACTGACTGCTAGCCGCCTCATAGCTCTAGCAAAGCCAGACGGAGGCACTCGACCCATCGCGGTAGGCGAATGTCTCCTACGGCTAGCAGCTAAGTCCGCCCTCTCAGTGCTCTCTCACGAATGCCGCGCGCACTTCCTCCCGCTACAGTACTGCGTGTCCGTCCAAGGCGGCAGCGAGGCAATAATCCACGCCGCGAGAGCTTTCACTAGCGCAACCCCAGACGCGCTTATCCTGCAGGCGGATCTGGTAAATGCTTTTAACTCCATTAGCCGCGAAGCGATAGTCGGCGCACTTCGCGACACAGCCCTCCAGGGCCTCCTTCCCCTCGTCAAACTATCCTATAGCCGTCCAGCCCAGTTGTTCCTTGACGCGGGATTCGGTTGCGAGGCACTGGCTAGCGAGACGGGTGTGCGGCAAGGTGACCCGCTAGGCCCACTACTGTTTGCCGTGGGAATCCACCCAATTCTTTCCAGGACAGCAGCAGCTTACCCATCAGTCCTGTGCCTCGCGTTCGCCGACGACGTCACATTCCTGGGCCCTGCTGCGGATTGTACTGACGCCTTCCGTCACTTCACGGCAGGATTGCGCGATGTAGGACTGACCCACAACCCTGAGAAGTGCGCCGCATGGAGTGCAGCAGCCACAGATCCCCAGCAGCTGCCCGAGGGTGTCCCGCTGCACGCGGAGGGATTGCGGGTGCTTGGGAGCTTCATAGGCTCAACGGACGGTGCAGCGGCCTTTCTGCGGTCACAGCTCGAGGCAATGTCGTCCCCACTGCCCCACATAGCCACCATGGACCCACAAATAGCGGCGCTGCTACTGACGCGGTGTATCTCCAGGCGCATCTCGTACTTAGCACGCACCACACCTCTTTACCTGCTACCCGAAGCAGAGTGGTCAAGGTGGGGCCGGGCATTGCTGTACACACTTCTAGATGCTTGCGGGGTGCGCCACCCGAGGGGCGAGGCAGAGGACGGACGGATCTGGGATCAAGCCTCACCCCCCCCAAGCCTAGGCGGCCTGGGGCTTGCCGACCCTACAGTGGAAGGCCGATACAGCTTTATGGCGAGTCTCGTGCAGGCACACTCACTCCTCGGCCAGTTGGGGGGACAGGCAGGGGCCACACTGACAGCAGCACTGGACTCCCCCGCCGCAGCTGATCACAGCCCCACTGAACTGCAGCGGTGGATCAAGGACTGCAGGGACAGCCTCTCGCAGGAGGCGAGGGATCTTATCTCGGCGGAGCAGACAAAACCCAAGGGCCAGCTGCAACACCGCTTGGCACTCCTAGTTCAAGGGAGCCGGAGTGCCGCCCAGATCACAGCATCCAGGCAGATGGAGCTGAACCCCCGGCTGGGCCACACCCAGCGCCTCATGTCCCTCACGGGCTATGGGGCGGGGGACTGGCTCATGGCAATCCCTTACATGCCTTCACTGCGCCTGTACCCCTGCCACTTCACGTTCGCCCTCCAGTTCAGGCTAGGCATGCCACTCTCTGTACCAGACTGCAGTGATTGCAACAAACGAGTCCCCATCCTGGACAAGAGGTTGCCGAACCACTTGCTCCGGTGCGGCACTGGGCACGGCCGGACCAACACCCACGACGAGCTGCGGGATGAATGCATCCGCATGGCGCAGGACGCGGGGTTTGCCGTGCACAAGGAGTGCACTGCCTTCAGCCCGGTGGATAACAAGAAGGCCGACCTGGCCTTTCGGGATGGGAGCTCGGGAGCGGTGTGGCTGGCTGACGTCACGATAACAGACCCCATCAGCAAGCGGGACGAGACTGCAAGGAAGGGGAGGGGCTGGGCAGCACAGGAGGCAGCAGACAAAAAGATTGACCTCTACCACGGCAGGTCAGAGTTTGCGGGGTTTTTCCCATTGGCGGTTGAGACCTACGGCTGCCCCTGCGACGAGGTACCCACCTTCCTGAAGTTGCTGGCGGACAAAGCTGCGCGGAGAATATTCAACGCGGACCCATCTACCTACCAGGCCGCAAAGATGCTCCACCAATTCCGCCAACGCTGGTCCATTGCCCTCCAAAGAGCCCAAGCAGTGAGCTTCCTCACAAAGCTGAATCTGGCAGCCCGAGCAGAGAACCCCCCATTGGGGGGACCAGAGGGGGAGATGAACCCTGGGGACTGCTTCACAACCCTAGAGGCACCTTAGACATAGGGGGGGGGGGGGGGGGGGGGGGGGGGGGTGGGTAGGGGTGTATGGCTGCTTGCTTGCGTGTGTGGTTGCTCCATAGGTTTTGTATGCTGGTCCTTATGCTAGCTGACACCTCCCGTAGGTTCTGCATGTCTGTACCAGCCCCTGTTATCAATGCAAAGGACCGTTTGAGAGAGAGAGAGGGAAGATTTGACCAATTTTGACCAACACACCAACCCTTCCGCGACCCTCCCCACAGATCCGAACCACCCCCAACATCCCTGGCACCACTGCTAACCACCCCGCCCAACCAAACCTGACACCAGCACCAGCAAGTGCATCACGAACTGCAGCAAGGGGTAACCAACGGCAGTCACAACTCCCCCCCCCAAAAATCGCCTGAAGCCCTCGCCAAGGATGACACGCTTTTCGCAAGCGTCAGTGACTGGAATCTGGACAAGCTACGCGATAGTCGCAACGCACCTCTGGCACGTCGCCTTCCAGAAAAACTGCGCCTGCTTTTCGCAATGGTTTTACTGACACCACTGCTGCGACTCGCCGACGACCCTGATTCCGTCCAAGCCTGGACGGTTTTGCTGTTTGCCGCTCGCCTGACGCTTCGCCAGTAGTCGCCGAGGCATCCTGACTGGAAGGAGACCAGGAGCCGTTTGCGAAAATTCCTGCGAGGGGAGTGGGAATCACTTTACCAGGAAACAGTGGATTCGCTGGAGCTCCCTCCCCCTCCCAGACACCAACCAGACGACCTCGGGGTTATCTCCAGAGCTGAAGGTCTGGCGCGACGTGGCAGTCTACGGAGAGCTGTCATGGCACTTGAAGCCACTCCAGTCAGCAAGCCGTCGCCAGAAGTTCTGGAATCCTTACGCGCCAAGCACCCAAGTGCCCAGCGCCCTGACGCACCGTGGCCCCAGCCTGAGCCGGACTCTTACCTGTCAGTGTCGCGGGAAGTTTTCTTGAAACTTCTCTCGAAGTGTGAGAACGGGGTAGGTGCAGGTCCCTCAGGCACGACGTTCGAGCACCTGCGGGAAGCTGCCTTGTTGCACTCCACGGTCTGTTCTCACTTGCATGCGCTTGTCAAAACGATCCTTCACGGGAAGCTGCGCAAGGAAGTAGGGGGGCTGCTTACCGCATCACGACTAATTGCCCTTGACAAGCCAGACGGAGGAACCAGGCCAATAGCCATAGGGGAATGCATCCTCCGCCTAGCAGCCAAAGCAGCGCTCACCCAGCTAGCGGAAGCGGCCAGGGAGTTTTTCTTACCTTTACAGTTTGGTGTGGCCGTGCCGGGAGGAGCTGAAGCTGTTATTCACGTTGTTCGTACGTTCACCTCGGCCAACCAGGATGCACTGGTTTTGCAAGCCGACCTTGCTAACGCTTTCAATAGCGTTGATCGCCACGCCATTGCGACAGCCCTGAAAGGCTCGCAGCTTGAACCGCTGCTGCCATTAGTGAAATTCTCCTATGGCCAGCCGTCCGCTTTGCACTTGGAAGCAGCTTTTAATCACCCGCCTTTGCTCAGCGAAACCGGGGTCCGCCAGGGGGACCCCCTCGGCCCCCTTCTTTTTGCCGCGGCAATGCAACCAGCCCTGAAGGCGGCTGTGGAGGCGCACCCCGAGGTCATCTGCCTGGCTTACGCAGATGATGTCACCTTCCTAGGGGACCCGACGTCATGCGCGGCTGCTTTCAATCACTTCACGGGCCTCCTCGCAGAAATCGGCCTCAAACACAACCCCGCCAAGTGCGGGGCTTGGTCCAATGGGTCGCCCGCGGACTACCACCTACCCGAGGGAGTCCCGCCCAGCAGCGACGGGCTGAAAGTGCTGGGCAGCTACATCGGCACCCCAACGGCCACCTCCGCCTTTGTACGATCCAGCCTGGAGGTGATGGGGGCGCCGCTAGGACTGATTGAGCGGATGGAGCCTCAGCTGGCGGAACTGCTGCTGTCTCGGTGCGTCTCGTGCCGAGTGTCACTTGGCCCGCACGACTCCCCTTCCGTCCCTGCCCAAGGAGGAGTGGTCCGAATGGGGGAGGCGGCTGCTAGATACTCTGCTCACGGCATGCGGCATTAATCACCCGCGGGGG